CACAGGGGCATAGTATCGAGATTACATGTGATAAGAGAGGAGGGGTATAATATCGACATGCATATAAGATATTTTGACACTGTTAAAGATCAGGATTTGAATCTTCCTGATCGGTTCTACCGTCATTTCGTTCACAGGAGTAATGGGACATCATAATGCAGATGTAAATATTCAGTCAGTTTTGTGTTTTATGGGATGCTTTTGAGAGAGAGGCTGATAAATATTTAAATTGCTTTTGATCTTCAAAGACTCACAACAGATACTTAAGAGGAAGAGAAAGAAGCTATTAAATCAGTTTGTTAGCCGTAGTTCAATATTGCTACTATAAACATGTTAAGCGAGGTTTCCAGCGGCTTTTTGTCATTTTTCCCCTCTCTGATCATCCGAATTTCTGCCCTGAGCAAACAATTCCGAAAATCAACGAAAATGGAAATAAGAATTCTATCAGTCTCCTGTGATTCCTGGATTTCTTGAATTATGCCATTAGGAGGAATTGGTTTGATATTTCCTGTTATTACTTGGCTGCCGTTACCTTCGTCAAAACAAAGACGGTGACAGTCGTCGATTCAGCCATGGGGTGAGTGATGGAAGCTGAGAGACTCATCACCGATGGAATTCCTGCACATTTACCACAAGCTTTTTAGAAACATCTCTGTATCAGGATTGTATTAATTAGAAAAAAGGGAAGGAACAGTAATTAATTTGAATAGGGCAACATTGGAAATGTGAATTTTTGTGTAGGTAAAGATACTGAATATGTCCTCTTTGTTGGGGATGGTTGTGTAGCTGAGTGGTGAAAGCATTCACTCACTAAAACACTTGCCTGGGTTTGATTCCTCATATGTCCTCTTTGTTGGGGATGGTTGTGTAGCTGAGTGGTGAAAGCATTCACTCACTAAAACACTTGCCTGGGTTTGATTCCTCATATGTCCTCTGTGTTGGGGATAGCTGAGTGGTGAAAGCATTCACTGACTTGCCTGGGTTTGATTCCTCATATGGTGAAGGGGAGCTGAGTGGTGAAAGCATTCACTCACTAAAACACTTGCCTGGGTTTGATTCCTCATATGTCCTCTGTGTAGGGGATGGTTGTGTAGCTGAGTGGTGAAAGCATTCACTCACTAAAACACTTGCCTGGGTTTGATTCCTCATATGTCCTCGCTGAGTGGTTCAAGCATTCACTCACTAAAACACTTACCTGGGTTTGATTCCTCACATCTAGTGAAAGCTATTGCTGAAATATACCTACTTGCCTGGGTTTGCGTCCTCAAGTCGCAGAACCGTATTTATGACTGGTGACTTTTACAGGTGGGAATACAGGTATTCAACTGAAATTTAGTTTTATCCACCTGGCTAGGCAAAACACATTCATTATTTCTTTGTTATATTCACTTTCCTTTAAACAATATTTGTTACCTGTATGTTTATGATCAACTTATGGCTACCCCGATTACAGCTGTACAACAATGAGTGGAGTGTAAAACTGACCCAAATCAACAGTGAGTGTGTGATCTTTCATTGCCAGCAGTTTAGATGATAGATAACATCTGTCAAGAGCAAACTGAAAAATATCCAAAGAGCAAATAATGTCTGAGTGTCTCATGGCGTTGATTATATTGACATGGGGACTTTTTCATCATGTGATCAAAGTTGCTGTGTCATTGCGTTTATTTTCAACTTTATAACTTGAATTTGCATTTTTGATAATATGTTACTGTAAGTTCATACCGAAAGGTATCAGAATCTGCAAAGTTGTGTTTTACATTGCATGTGACCTTTAACAGAAACATTTCATCCATTTTCTACAATGAAGAATAACATGCCACATACCAATAATAAGAAGAAGAAAGTCACATCATGTTGTATTTTCTTTATTCCCATTTTATATTAGTCTGCTCTTAAAATGCTGTGACCCAAAATTTTTATTTATTCTATTTTTCTTTCTTTTCATTCTGATAACAGTATGAGTAACATGTGTGAAACTGGTGCCTTGGTGGTAGTGTGATGTGTCCCATAGCATGCGTCATTGTTGCACCACAAAACCCAGATATCTGAAGGTGTCATTAACTGCATCACAAGTATTCACGAACACCATTGAGTGAGTGAGTATGGTTTAAAAACCGATTTTAGCAATATTCCAGCAATATCACGGCGGGGTACACCAGAAACGTAATGTACCCATTTGGGGAATCGAACCCGATGGCTTCAGCGTGATGAGCAAATGCTTTAACCACTAGGCTACCCCAACGCCCCTCCAACACCATTGACTCTCACTGGGTGCATCGTCAGTGGGAGATATTTTAATCTTGTGATTCAGGGTTATAGTGATCAATATGTTTGTCCATGTGTCCGTCCTCCATCCAGATTTAGTTTCTAGGGTAGAACTGCAAAACCTTTATCTATTTCTTGTTGAAACTTGCTGTACAGGTCAGTCTTGTGGTAAACTCTTGCCTGTTATGTTTTGTGTTTTGATTATTGTGTTTCCATGTCAAGTTCATATTCCTGTAAAGGTGGGTAGTGCACACTTCTGGACCAGAACTCTAAAACTGTTGAATATATCATGGATCTTGTTATGCAGATCAGTCAGGTTGTGAACTGCTGCCTTTTCAGGACTTGGGGTATTTTATATTTTTCATATTTTCATAACAAGCAACACTCCATTTTCAAAAGCACCAAATTGGGGAGATGTGTCATCTCCTGGTGGCTTTTGTTTAACACATCATTCAGCGATATACTATTTGTATGACAGCTGCCTCTCCTGCTGAGATTTGAACCAGGGTGAAATATGTTGTGATTCCAAGGCAGTGTACTGTCCAGTACCACAAGCTTGTCCAAACAACTGATTACAGGGGATGGGTTCAGTGTGTTTGGCTGACTCCATGCCATGACACTAGGGGTAGCCTAGTGGTTAAAGCGTTCGCTTGTCGCTCTGAAGACCCGGGTTCGATTCCCCACATGAGAACAATGCGTGAAGCCCATTTCGCAGTGATATTGTTGGAATATTGCTAAAAGCAGCGTAAAACCAAACTCACTCACTCACTCATCACACCACACAATGTGGATAGCTGCTCATACTGTCAACCACTGGTTTGTCTGCTCCTGACTCAGTAACATTCATCTGTTAGAAAGCTGTGATTTGGTTGGCTGCAGCTAGGGTTGGATAAAAAGATCAATTATCAGAAATACCATCCATGGAAAGAATTATTAACCATTATCAATATGAAATTTGTCATTGATGATATCTTACTTAAACATCAATGCACACAGTAACATTTTTATTCATTGGTCACTTCTAAATTACGCTCAGAACATTGATTTCATTAATAATTCTTGCATAAATGCGTCACAGCTCACCAGTGACGTGAAATGTATATTTTTTCACTTTTCCAGTTTTGTTCAAGGTTACTTCTCCAATGCTTTTCAATAGTTAATCAATATCTAGTTAATGATCATCGATCTATATTAGGTTATTGATCTACATTGATAACCGTCCCCAGCGGTGGTGTTGACCACCATTCCCTCACCACTGGAATCACCACTCTGTATAGTTGTAAATTCTGTCACCAAGTACACAAGCGTCCTGACAGAGCCCTGATTGTATAGAAGATCATGGTCATAATGAAGTAGATGGACACAATGTGAAGGACTACTGGCAGTAGATAGACAGCATCTGTTGGTGATTGATAGCGATCATTGTCGTGTTCGGTTGTGATAGAGAAATGTTGATGCAAGGGAGGTAACTCTTGTAAGGGTTTGCAACACTGTAACTTTAGTCAGGGATGTTTAGTTTCTTGTTCAAATCAGGGGAGAAAATTAGTTTTAACTTTGGAGTATGTTTTATATTTTTCAATGCTGCAAATTAGTCAGAGTCCTTGGTTTATCCACCATCAACAAATCAATCCGCAAAATTTAATGTTTTATAATGAAATTGTAACATGTACCTAATTAACCATATAAGTTGCATTTGTGTCTTTATATCATATATCATATCATATCATATCATATCATATATCATATCATATCATATCATATCATATCATATCATATCATATCATATCATATCTCATACCATACCATACCATACCATACCATACCATACCATGTCTCATATTCTGATATTTGTGTAGTGCCAATATCTAGCTTAGCTCAGCTTAGCTGCTCAAAGGCACTTTGTTTTTCCCTCAATCACTGGATGTTAATCTCAAACGGCACATTGTATTTTTCAATCTCAACTCCCTTGGGATCATACAAACTCATGCAGCCATTTAGGCGCACCAAATTTGGCTTTCCCATCCTTACAATGTACCCATTCACAGCTGAGTGGACTGGGACACATAGTGAAAGTCACAGTATTTTGTCCAAGTTTACTACAAGTTGCTGTACCCGCAACTAGGTGTTTGCACGTATTCATGTGGCCACCATCAGGTAACTTACCAATGGATTCATGGGTTCTTTTAAGTGCACAGGGTTGTGTACTGTACACTAGGGGTTGTGACAACACTGAAAGAGTCGCACACAAACTTGACTCCAAGGTTTTTACACCCTGTCACAAGTGGGCTCGATCCCAGCACCTCAAGCTTGCTGGATTACTAGCCTGGCACCTTAGATCGATCGCCCACCGCACCCCTTTCAATACTGTATAATTTCTTTGATAGTTTATGTCCTGTGTGTCCTTGTCACACGTCCTGTGTGTCCTTGTCACACAAGTAAGTTCACTGGAGTTGTTCTCGTGCATATTTGGCTGAAACGTTGCTGATTTGACACTGTTGTTCATACAACAGGTTAGATTTTGTGTGCAACCTGTGTTACATGGGCTTTTTGTCCTCATTTGAAACTGATTGTCAAAGTCACTGAAGGAATGGTACAAGCAACACTGAGCCCCCCAGCTTCTGGAGTTACTTCATGTCTGCCCACGACTGATTCTGACATCCATTTTGTGCCAGTTAGGTTTATTGTGGGAAAGATTTTCCTGAGATAACAGTATGTTGACCTTGTACTTCCAGGTCCTTCTGACCAGCATGAGTTCCAGGCCGAGACTCGTCAACTGCTGGACATTGTGGCCAAGTCTCTGTACTCGGAGAAGGAGGTGAGTGGTCCTGTACTCATAGAAGCAGGTGTATAGTGCATGATGTCTGATCTTACGTTACTGTACTTCTGATCTGCATTGACTGTCTTCGGAGAAGCAGGTATATAGTGCATGATGTCTGATATATAGTGCATGATGTTTGCATTGACTGTACTTTCGAAGAAGCAGGTATATAGTGCATGATGTCTGATCTTACGTGACTGTACTCGGAGAAGCAGGTATATAGTGCATGATGTCTGATCTTACGTGACTGTACTCGGAGAAGCAGGTATATAGTGCATGATGTCTGATCTTACGTGACTGTACTCGGAGAAGCAGGTGTATATAGTGCAACTGTCGGAGAAGCAGGTATATAGTGCATGATGTGATCTTACATTGATCTTCTGTACTCAGAAGCAGGTATATATACGTGACTGTACTCGGAGAAGCAGGTGTATAGTGCATGATGTCTGATCTTACGTGACTGTACTCGGAGAAGCAGGTATATAGTGCATGATGTCTGATCTTACGTGACTGTACTCAGAGAAGCAGGTGTATAGTGCATGATGTCTGATCTTACGTGACTGTACTCGGAGAGCAGGTGTATAGTGCATGATGTCTGATCTTACGTGACTGTACTCGGAGAAGCAGGTATATAGTGCATGATGTCTGATCTTACGTGACTGTACTCGGAGAAGCAGGTGTATAGTGCATGATGTCTGATCTTCGAGGAGAACGTGACTGTACTTGGAGAAGCAGGTGTATAGTGCATGATGTCTGATCTTACGTGACTGTACTCGGAGAAGCAGGTATATAGTGCATGATGTCTGATCTTACGAGACTGTACTCGGAGAAGCAGGTGTATAGTGCATGATGTCTGATCTTACGTGACTGTACTCGGAGAAGCAGGTATATAGTGCATGATGTCTGATCTTACGTGACTGTACTCGGAGAAGCAGGTATATAGTGCATGATGTCTGATCTTAATGATGGAGGTTGTTGGTCCAACACGGGTATATAGTGCATGATGTCTGATCTTACGTGACTGTACTTGGAGAAGCAGGTATATAGTGCATGATGTCTGATACTTACGTGACTGTACTAGGAGAAGCAGGTATATAGTGCATGATGTCTGATACTAAGTCACTGTACTAGGAGAAGCAGGTATATAGTGCATGATGTCTGATCTTAAGTGACTGTACTAGGAGAAGTGGGTATATAGTGCATGATGTTTGATACTAAGTCACTGTACTAGGAGAAACAGGTATATAGTGCATGATGTCTGATCTCACATGACTGTACTTTCGAGGAGAAGGTTGTATAGTGCATGATGTTTAAGTCACTGTACTCGGAGGAGGTATGGGTGTGATGTTGATACCAAGTCACTGTACTAGGAGAAGTGGGGTAGGAAATGCATGATGTTTGATACTAAGTCACTGTACTAGGAGAAGTGGGTTTGGTTTGAGTCACAGTACTCAAGGTGCTTCATCTTCTGTTTCCAACTCTAGGTGTTCATCCGTGAGCTCATCTCAAATGCCAGCGACGCCCTGGAGAAACTGCGCTACGTGCAGCTGAGTGGGTCAGAGGTCAGCGATGGAGGCACCCCTCTGGAGATCCACATTGCCACTGACGACACCAAGAAAACTTTCACAATCCAGGTACGAACTTCCTTGTCTGAGAACATTTTGGTACCCGTGAAGATCCGGGTTAGAATTAGTCTTCAGCAACCCATGCTTGTCGTAAGAGGCGACTAACAGGATCGGGTGGTCAGGCTTGCTGACTTGGTTGACACATGTCATTGTATCCCAGTTGTGTAGATCTGTGTTCATGCTGTTGATCACTGGATTGTCTGGTCCAGACTCAATTATTTACATACTGCCGCCACATAGCTGGAATATTGCTGAGTGCGGTGTTAAATAACAAGAAAGAAAAAGAGAACATTTTGGGGTGGTGATGTAGCCTAGTCAGACTTTAAATTCAGCTCGCTTTCTAAGACATTCTGACTTAACTGTCAATCAGATGTCCTGATGAACTTTACCAAATCCGGTAGAGATACAGAAAAGTATCCAGTTAATGTTTTCATTTATATCATAGCAAATATATAATGTAATCTCGCTTGGGCAACATTACTGCTAGTTGTTAATGTGTTAGTTGCTACTGTGATCAGTGGGGCAGTGGTTTGGTGGGGTAGCCTAGTGGTTAAAGCATTCGCTCGTCACGCCGAAGACCCGGCTTCGATTCCCCACATGGGCACAATGTGTGAAGCCCATTTCTGGTGTCCCCTGCTATGATATTGCTGGAATATTGCTAAAAACTCTCTCAGTATGGTCAGTTCCCCATACATGCAAATCACTATTACAGTCTTGCTAGTCAGGTGCGTCTGTATATTGTCAGGGCTTTGTTTTAGTGTTTTATTATGTGCAAGGGTCCATTCTCAGCTGCCCAATAACACTTGTTCACATTCCTAGTCCCCTGCACACTGATTCTTGATATGAGAGACCAAGAATCAGGTGGTCTGTCTGTGTAGACTGACAGATGATGTGTCACTGTGACTGGGCTGGTGCTCATGCTCTCAGACACTGGTTCATCTGGCCCAGATTCTATACAACCACCCATGGTATGGCTGGAATTTCATTGCAAGTCAAGATCAAATTATACATGGATATGGTGCTTATATCATCCAAGTTGCTGGATTGCTGGTCATAACATCAGTCCCTGCATTGTCCAGAACAAACTCCACATGTAGGTGTCATGCAGCTGGAATATGACTGAATGCAACGTCAAACAGCGTACAAAACCTTGGCCTGGGCTTCAATGTCCTCCGTTCTTGTGGGTTTGGCCTGAGATGTGGAGCATGTCAAGTATTGGTGTTAATGCAAGTTACAAATATTTTGATTTTGCAGGACACAGGCATCGGTCTGACGAAGGAGGAGCTGATTGACAATCTGGGAACCATTGCCAAATCTGGGTCTAAGGTGAAGTAGAACAATTGTTTCTAGCCAACTAGTTAAAGTGTATGCTCACAGCATATTATGTGTTTTCATCAGAGCAATGTTCAGGTGTCTGTCTCCTCTCATGGTAAAATATATGAATCCCATCTATGGTGTCATGGCATTCCTGACTGCTGTGTAGGTCCATGCTCACTCCAATGTCCTTATGCACCAAATTCTTCTCCTCTGTTCACAATCTTGTAAGGATTTGATAAAACATATTGGACTTGTTAATTTGTGTGTAATAAGCTATTGAAAATAACCATCTGCAAAGATTCATGCATGAATGAAGAAGTTACTTGATGTTAGTTTGTCAGTCAGATTTATCAGGGGCTCCTTTCTCGAGGCGACCTTTACTAAGGACTCTTTAACATTGCACTAAGGTTATAGTGACAGTTGCTTGAAAGGAGGCCCAGGATGATTGCTGGAGCTGGCAGAACAAAGCATAAGCTGATAATTATTGAAAATAACTATCTGAACAAAATGAAGGATTAACCCCATACTAGACTATGATGGATTGACAGTTGTTGCTTATTTGTGGATGTGACCTGTTTTGCTGGTGGGAGCTTAAGTATCACCACTCAATCACTGACAGTGTACATAGTGGGAATGTTCTCTTCTTCTTGTTTCTAGGCCTTCATCGAACAGCTTAAGGACAAGGCCGATGCATCAACCAATCTGATTGGTCAGTTTGGTGTTGGGTTCTATTCTTCATTCATGGTGGCAGACCGAGTAGACGTGTACACGCAGTCACACAAGCCAGATTCGCAGGCCTTGAAGTGGTCTTCTGACGGGTAAGAGAGAGCTGATTGGATAACACTGTAAACAGTTCACACTGGACAACCATACTCACTAGGGCCCAGAGTTTTTAAGCTCTCTTAGAGCTAAGAGTGTCGTAAGTGCCATACATTAACATTAACTTACGACTATCTTATCACTAAGAGGGCTTCGAAAATCTAGGCCCTGGTTACTAATGAAGAATCATGAAGTCCAGTTTGTGTTTGGAGACATGGCCCAACCAGTATTGGACAGTGCTACCTGTTGGACAGAGTTGTTTCCCCTTGCTGTTTATGCTGATTGTTGGATCCAAAATGGCGATAGTTGTGAACTTTGGTAGGTCAGCATACATGTAGTGGTAAGCATCTACAACCTTCCTCCTGTAGTAAACAGACGTGCTAAGATATAACTGAAATACGTTTCGATGATAACCAAAGCACTTGCCTTCCCCCCACAGGGAAATATTAAAGCCATCATGCATGCAGTATGCAGGAGAATTTATCAAGTAGTGCTTGGAAGTGTAATTTTTATTTAAGAGCCTAATCCTAGTTTATAGGATCAAAACCGACTCTGAGGTTTTGTTTAAAAAAGTAAGCCCGTGGAGGAGGGAAGTTGAGGATGGCCAATAGGCCCGACCCAATTTCCTGAGGGCAAGGGGAAGACGCAGGTACAAAGTATAAAACTACATGATCACTTCCACAGACACTTTTGCCACTATATATGAACACATCATATTGTCATACAGCTGATCAGTTCATCTTCCACACTGTCTGGGTTAGGTCTGGGTCCTATGAGATATCGGAGGCGGAGGGCGTGCAGCGCGGCACCAAGATCGTCATCCACCTGAAGGGCGACTGCTATGACTATGCCAGGGAAGAGATCATCAATGGTAAGACAACTAACATGGAGAGTACAACTCAAGTTACCTGTGAGGCAGTATGTAGGTTAATATTCACTCGGTACCCATCCACTGCGTGATGAACGAAGTCACTTGCCCAAAGTGCAAGACAGAGGCCGAAACCCGAACAAGATCAATCATCCATCTGCTCTGCCATGACATTGCGGGAATATTGCTAAAACTGGCATAAAACCATGCCCACTCACTCACTCAGTCTCCACACCAACGCTTAACATTAAAGGATTTAGCTGAATGTTATTGAACCTCATGACACTTTAGCTTGTCAGTTGGAACTTGCAGACTTTTGAATATTCTTATTTCCTGAATATGATTCTACATAAGAAGTTCCAGATATTAACTGTCGGTGGTGTAATCAGAGGTGACAGAGACTTGATCAATCAAACATTGATTGGGCAGATATATAAACATGATGTCAGTGTTAAGGGCAAAGCTTAGTATTCCATTCTAATTTATAAATGTATGCTTGCAGTTTATTGAGTTAGGACCATCAAACCTGAAGCTGTATGTATAGTGTTGTGTCTCTTCTGCAGATGTTGTCAAGAAGTACAGCAACTTTGTGGGTGTCCCCATCTTCCTCAATGGCAAACGGGCGAACATCATCCAGGTAAGATGTCAGAAATTGTAATATACAGGAAATACTGATTGAAGCAATCACGTTTGTGGAAGTCTACTTAGAGATCATGAGCTGTCTTTGAAAATGTTTCATTGCAATAGTGTCAGTTTGAACTCAGCATATATTTTTTTAAATACATTGTCCATTTTTTAATAGTTTGAACAAGTATGTAAGTAACCATGGTTACTCTTCACACAGGCCCTCTGGATGATGGACCCCAAGGAAATCACAGAGGACATGCATGAGTCGTTCTTCCGCTTCATCGCCAACGCCTATGACAAGCCTCGGTATCACTTCCAGTACAAGACGGATGCTCCACTCAACATCCGGGCATTGTTTTACATCCCAGAATACAAGCCAAGTGAGTAGGAAACTATTATTGGGAGCATTCTGGAGTCTTGTGAGTAGGGAAGTAGCTTCAGATACATCCGAGAACACATGCCAAGTCATTAGGGAAGCATCCTTGAATACACTTCTTGTGAGTAGGGAAGTAGCATCTTTTACAATGCTAGTGTGTAGGAGAGTAGCATCAAGTACAATATTGAATACAAGCCTAGTGTGTAGGAGAGTAGCATCAAATACAATATTGAATACAAACCTAGTGTGTAGGAGAGTAGCATCAAATACAATATTGAATACAAGCCTAGTGTGTAGGAGAGTAGCATCAGATACAATATTGAATACAAGCCTAGTGAGTATATAATATTGAGTAGCATCAAGTACAATACTGAATACAAGCCTAGTGAGTAAGGAAGTAGCATCAGATACAGTACTGAATACAAGCCTAGTGAGTAGGGAAGTAGCATCTGAAACATCCTTCAATACAAGTTGTTTTTATATTTTAGTGCTGTGTATTGCTGTGGTACTATATTTGATTTCCTTCTGACCTTCACCTTGCAGCCATGTTTGACATGAGTCGGGAGACGGATGTGAGTGTCACACTGTACAGCAGGAAGGTGATGATCCTACAGAAGGCAAACAGCATCCTGCCCAAATGGCTCCGATTTATGAGAGGTAGGACAGACAGGATCCAGTCACTAGATCAACATCTAGATTCTATTTTGATGATATGAGGAATTAAGTAAGACACTGCATTGTATGGGAGTAGCCTATTGGTTAAAGTGCACACTAGCCGTGCCAAAGACCCGGGTTTGATTCCCTCATGGGTACATAGTGTGAGTCCCATTTCTGATATCCCCACCATGATATTTCTGGAATATTGCTGAAAACAGTGTAAATCTTGTTCGCTTGCTTGATAATTCATCACTGATGATTGTAATGATTTTAACATTCACCTACAGTGGTAACAGGCTTCAATTATAAGAAACAAGATATAAACATTTCACAACCTTGCCTTAAAGCAGTTACTGAGTTCAAAGTTAAAATCAGGTTATTTCCCTGAAATGTTATGGTGTGATGCAGGTGTCTTATGTTACAGGTGTAGATGTAATGCAGGTGTTGTGCAGGTGTGTATGAGATGTTGTGTGATGGAGATGTGCTACGTTGCAGGTGTGGTGGACAGCGAGGACATCCCCCTCAATCTGAGCCGTGAGCTGCTACAGGACAGCAACCTCATCAGGTCAGTGACCTAGGAGCTCCGTACTGAAATAGTACCTGGTTGACAAACTGTGGATCTTAATGGTCCACAAAGCAAATAGGTCCAAAGTACCTTCTTCTTGTCCTTCTTTAAGTATCACCAGCCGTGACTGGTCTGAAGAGTAATGCTGATCCACTGTTAAAGCTTCAGTGGGTGCCTAACAAGGTCTAGAGTAATCACAGTTGTGGTGTGTTTCCAGGAAGCTGCGTCAGGTGTTGACGGCTCGCGTCCTCAAGTTCCTGCTGGAACAGTCCCGCAAGGATGAGGACAAATACCTCAAGTTCTACGAGGACTACGGCATGTTTTTCCGTGAAGGCATCATCACCACCATGGAGCAGGACCAGCGGGTGAGCAGCAGTGGGACTTTGAAACGAGGGGGCGCTGTAGTGGGACCTGGAATCAAGGGGGCGCTGTAGTGCGACCTGGAAACAAGGGGGCGCTGTAGTGCAACCTGGAAACAAGGGGGGCTGTAGTGGGTCCTGGAAATGAGGAGGCTGCTGTAGTGGGACCTGGAAATGGGGGGCACTGAGTGGGCTGTTATAGTGGGACCTGGAAAGCAGAGGGGGCTGTAGTGGGACCTGGAAATGAGTGCTGCTAGTAGTGGGACCTGGAAACAAGGGGGCGCTGTAGTGAGACCTGGAAACGAGGGGGTGCTGTAGTGGGACCTGGAAACAAGGGAGGCTGTAGTGGGACCTGGAAAAAGAGTAGCTATAGTGGGGGAAACAAGGGGCTGTAGTGGGACCTGGAAACGAGGGGCTGTAGTGGGACCTGGAAACAGGTGGTGCTGTAGTGGGACCTGGGAAGGGGCTGTAGTGCAACCTGGAAGCTTGAGGGGTGCTGTAGTGGGACCTGGAAACAAGAGGGGCTGTAGTGGGACCTGGAAATCAGGGGGCTGTAGTGCAACCTGGAAAGCTTGAAGGGCTGTAGTGCGACCCGGAAACAAGAGGGAGGCTGTAGTGGGATCTGGAAATGAGGGGCTGTAGTGCGACCTGGAAACAAGGGGGTAGCTGTAGTGCAACCTGGAAATGAGGCTGTAGTGCAACCTGGAAATGAGGGGGGGCTGTAGTGGGACCTGGAAACTTAGGGGGGCTGTAGTACAACCTGGAAACGAGGGGGCTGTAGTGGGACCTGGAAACAAAGGAAGCTGTAGTGGGACCTGGAAAGCTTGAGGGTGGAAGCGCTGTAGTAGTGCGACCTGGAAGCGAGGGGAGCTGTAGTGGGACCTGGAAACAAGGGGTGCTTGGAAGCAGAGAGTAGTGCGACCTGGAAACTGTAGAGGGGGGCTGTAGTGGGACCTGGAAACAAGGGTGCTAGAGCTATGTAGTGGGACCTGGAAGCGAGGGGGGCTGTAGTGGGACCTGGAAAGCAGGGGCGCTGTAATGGGACCTGGAAACGAGGGGGCGCTGTAGTGCGACCTTGAAACAAGGGGGGGCTGTAGTGCGACCTGGAAACGCAGGTGGGAATGAGCTATAGTCAGGGCGCTTTCTGTATTACTTGGGTGTGCTGTTGTGGGCTGTAGTCAAAAGGGGGGACTTTTGTCAGGGCTGTGCTGTAGCGAGGCCTGTAGTCAGACAGTATGGCTATTGTGGGGCCTTAGGTTTAGTGCTCTGTGGTCATGTGTGTAATGTAGTTGGTGTCTGTTGTCAGTATGATAGGAACTCACCTACTCTTTTAGTGTCCTGTATTCAGGCTTAATTCTGGTTTTGTTACGGTTTGGACCCTTTAATTCACATATAATGCCTCAAGGTTATTTTCTTATTCTTCCAAAATTCAACCAGTGTATTCCCTATTTTACGTGTTGCCATGTTTCCTTGCAGGAGGAGATTTCAAAGCTGATGAGGTTTGAGTCGTCCAAGTGTGCCCCGGGAGAGAAGGTCAGTCTACAGGACTACTCCCACCATTATGGTAGTCTTGTGGGACATCTACTTCCTGTCTGCTCCCAGGTGCGTGCATCATGGCAGAGACAATCTTTAACAATCTCTTCCATCATGGTTACTTTGCTTCTTTAGCACTAGCTAACACACAATACTCTAGCTAACACACAATACTCTAGCTAACACACAATACTCTAGCTAACACACAATGCTAATACTCAACTCTAGCTAACACACAATACTCTCACAATACTCTAGCTAACACACAAGCTAACACACACAACTCTAGCTAACACACAATACTCTAACTAACACACAATGCTCTAGCTAACACACAATACTCTACACAGCTAATGCTCTAGCACACAATACTACTAGCTAACACACAATACTCTAGCTAACACACAATACTCTAGCTAACACACAATTCTCTAACTAACACACAATACTCTAGCTAACACACAATACTCTAGCTAACACACAATACTCTAGCTAACACACAATACTCTAGCTAACACACAATACTCTAGCTAACACAATACACAATGACTCTCTAGCTAACACACACAATACTCTAGCTAACACACAATACTCTAGCTAACACACAATAAACCAAGTAACTAATCCTGACCACCCCATCTCTTAGCTCACCTCTCACTACGAGCACAAGATCTGTGAAGATCTGGGTTAGAAATGATCTTCAGCAACCCATGCTTGTCGTAAGAGGCGACTAACAGGATCAGGTGGTCAGGCTCGCACGCTGACTTGGCTGACACATGTCATCATATCCCAGCTGTGTCGACTGATGCTCTTGCTATTGATCCCTGGATTGTCTGGCCCAGACTCGATTATTTACAGACCGTCGCCATATAGCTGGAATATTGCTGAGTGTCATGTTAAACAACAAACAAGCACAGGTGAATAGGCAGCAAATGGTTTGGGTGGTCAGACTTGGTTGTCACCATAATACAATGAATCGTTGCTCACAATATCGACCGCTAGTTTGTTGTTGTTTGCTGCATAACCAACAAACAAACTTCCAAATAATCTCTGTTTGTCCTACAGTCGCGAGTTGGCGGAGTCCTCCCCCTACTTTGAAGCCATGAAGAAGCAGGACACGGAGGTTCTGTTCCTGTACGAGCCCTACGATGAGCTGGTCCTCATGAACCTGGGACAGTTTGACCGGAAGAACCTCAAGTCCATCGAGAACGAGATCTCCGCTGACAAGGACGATGCTTACAAGGTGGATGATCAAGGTCAGAGGAATCATGATTTGACATGTCACAACAGTACCAATAAAATTGATTTCTTCAATGATCTTTGTAAAGAATTAAGTTCTTCACACAGTGAAGTTCACAAGTGTTATGTTCATGTATACAACTCTGGATGTTAGAGAACATTTGATTCTTTCAAACTACTGTACATATCTATCATGGCATGACAGAATAACATTAGTAGTACAAAAGAAATCAGGTGTTCTTTTAGTTCTTTCGGAAGCGGGTGAGTGAGGAGGGGTAGCCTGGTGGTTAAGCGTTCGCTCCTCACGATCAGAGACTCAGGTTTAGTTCCTCACATGGGTACAATGTGTGAAGCCCATTTCTGGTGTCCCCTGCAGTGATATTGCTGGAATATTGCTAAAAGCGGCATAAAACCAAACTCACTCACTCACTGTTTTGAGAAGGCTGTATCAAACAGTAACCATGGTAACTCTGGTTCCAGATGACAACAGCCTGAAGCAGGATGAAGCCACAACGCTGATGGACTGGCTTAAGTCCGTGCTGACCAACAAAGTCCAGCAGATCAAGGTATGGGACTAGCGGATACAGCTTTTTGAGAAAGGGTGGGGGTGCAGAGTTCATTTTCACCAGTTTCAATGGTCATTTAATTAGCTTTCAGGACAGCACCCCTGCACCACCACCACCCACCCCTGTAAATATTTAAGTCTAGACCAGACAATCCAGTGATCAACAGCATGAGCATTGATCTACGCAACTGGAATACTATGACATGTATCAACCAAGTCAGCAAGCCTGACCACCCGATCCCGTTAGTCGCCTCTTACGACAAGCATGAGAATGAGAACCAATGAAATAAGGTTTCCCCTATTTCAAACATAAAATCAAATTTCTAGGGCTGAATTAGTAGATGGGACAAGATTCTGTAAGTGTGTGTGTGTTGTAGGTGACCAAGAGGCTGGAGACCCACCCATGTATTGTAACAGTTCTGGAGATGGGGTCGGCTCGTCACTTCCTGCGGACGTCTCTGGCAGACAAGAGCCAGGAGGAGAGGTTCCGTCTCCTACAGCCCACCCTGGAGATCAACCCAAGGTATGTTTCTGTCATGCATTAACACACTGAAATAAGGATTCAGTTATTTGGGTGAAGTCCAGTGAATATCTGCCCACATTACTTCTTGAACTGATTGTCTATAAATCCTGTACAACCTTTTTCTTTAATTTTTAATTTTCTAATTTTCTAATTCCCTCAATATTATTCATTTGGAATTAGAAAATTTATTATTATACACACAAAGTTGAAATATATGACTAGTCAGCTAAACCATGACCTGTATCGTTACTGTGGTAACACTTGTGAAAATGTATATCACTTCCTATTAGAATGTAAACTGTATAACATTCAAAGAGAGACATTAATGTTAAATTTGAAAAGTACTGCAAAAGTGACTCTCCAATCACATTGTCATTAATGTTACTTGGAAGTCCAGATTTGACAATTCAACAGAATGAATATGTTTTCAAATGTGTACAAACTTTTATTTATCAATCCAAAAGTTCCTGAGCAATCACATTAATTGTGTCCCTTCCTTTCTTCTCTCTTTAACTTTCTGATCCTTTCTCTCTATTCCTTCCTAAGATGTATAAAATTGAAAATGCATGTATGTAAATATTAGGGAGCAGGTATTTTAAGTTGGATATCTTGGTGATGCAACAGAGACACAGTCAGTCTGATATTTAAAACGTTGATAAGAATGATGATGTTCTCTTCAAGTAAACCAGCACAATGGTTTAACATCAGTAAATCTGAATAAATGCAGAATAGCCCGAGATTGATTTTCTTTGTGTGAATGAATGTGATAGGGATGATGTTTGAAAGTATTCTGATGCTGATGTCCTTGTAATTCCATGTTAGCATCGGTCCCCTGTAAATCTTCCATTCAGTGAATTATCTGAGTGTGGCACTCAGCAACAAACATGCACACACACATCCTGATGGAACTGACGTCTGCTCATATCTCTGTCCTCCATTACAGCCACACCCTGATCAAGAAGCTGTACGCTCTGTCTTCTTCTGACCCTAAGCTCGCCACTCTACTTGCAGAACAGGTAAACAGCTTTACCGTATATTATTAATCTTTAAGATCAAAATCCAATGTCGAACAATACCCAGTGTTCCTCTTTTTCAGGCTCTGATAGACTTTTATTAGTGTTGTGACTATATATCTTATTCAGCATACGAAACCTGTTCAAATTCAGGCACTTACTAGATTCTCTTGGGTTACCCTCACTCACTCCAACTCACAATACAAGACTGGTCCCTTTGAAAGTTCATTTTTGACAACTTTATCATGTGTCCAAGGGAAGTAACTCTGTGTATCATATGACATTCAAATTACCTCCCTTTGTCCATACAGCCATCAAACATCAAGACATCTCATCATGAGTAGATTATGATATTGATCAGCACAGTCATTGATTATTTCCCTTATGTTTACCATAATTGTTTAACAAGACATCCATGCATGGCATGGAATGAGTGAGTTGTCTCCCCTGCCGTGTGCCAGCTGGCGGTTCCCAGCTGGTGCTGACATGATGTGCTCCATGCCATGTGATGGTTAAGCTTACATCAGTCAATACCTGAGCAGACTCACTAATGCATATATCAGTGTCATCTGATACCTTGCATGCACAACTCAACCGCATGTAAGAGCCTTAGTCCCAGATATGCACAGATGTCAGCAGAAACTTGTAGAAAGCATCTCACACAAGAATCGATCGATAAATTTTGACTTGATTTTTTTTACAACGGTACAAGAATCTGTATTGAAATGTCGCACTCACGAATAAAAAGAAGTTGTTATCCATAAAGTTTGTTCTATATTGTACTTCCCAACTTCTAAAATGCCACTCAAAGAAGTTGATATCTTTTATACGTAGAGATACAGTTAACTACAGTTATAATGATCACAAAGGGACTACTAATTTTAATTTATTATAACAGTAGTTCATTATACACATTTCAATTAAAATGTAGACCAAATGGCCTGGACAAAAAGAAACAGTTTGTTATATCTGTCTGTTAGCATAAACGTTTANTGGTTACACCCATAGTTTCCTCTGTGTGTGGTGTGTGATGTTGTTGGAATTTGCTTAAAACCAAACTCAGTCAGTCAGTCAGTCCTCTGTGTGTGTGTGACTATGTGTTCAACGCAGCTGAACGGGGACTATGTATTCAGCAGCGTCCGTACGTACGTACGTACGTCCCAATTCTTGTTAACGCGATATCTCATGAACTGTTGTACCACATGTCTTCAAATTTGGTGTCAGCCTACATTGGAGGATTACGCAGACACCAGTCGATTTGCGTGACCTTGACCTTATTTTCAAGGTCACCACGACACTTTGACCACTTTTCCAACTCTTGTTCACGCGATATCCCATGAACTGTTGTACCCAATGTCTTCAAATTTGGTGTCAGCCTACATTGGGGGATTACGCAGACACCAGTCGATTTGCGTGACCTTGACCTTATTTTCAAGGTCACCACGACACTTTGACCACTTTTCCAACTCTTGTTCACGTGATATCTCATGAACTGTTGTACCCAATGTCTTCAAATTTGGTGTCAGCCTACATTGGGGGATTACGCAGACACTGACCACTTTTCAAACTGTTGTTAACATGATATCTCATGGACTGTTGTATCCAGTGTCTTCAAATTTGGTGACAGCCTACATTGGGGGATTACGCAGACACCAGTTTATTTGGGTGACCTTGACCTTATCTTCAAGGTCACCACGATACTTTGACCGCTTTTTAAAGCGGATATCTCATAAACCATTGCACCCAATGTTTCAAGTATGTTGACAGCCTACATTGGGTGATTATGCAGACACCAGTCATTTCAGGCATCTTGTATGTGACCCAAAAATAAAAAGTAGTAAATATAGATATTCCATTCTTTAGCGGCGGGGGACATTGCCATATCAGTGGCAAACACTTGTTTGGTTTGTCTCAAGATTAAAAAAGTATTGCAGGAAAGCTCACCCCTCACCCCTTGTCCCCTGACCTTCTTAAATTCTATCACAGGTTTTAATTTCACCATAATCTTTAATTCTTCTCACATTGCTGACACTGGAGTGTGGTACAAGTACTGTAAATCATGAAATTAACGCGAGCATTTTATTAATGCGAAATATGCGTCTGTACTCTTCTCGCATTATTATAATGATGCATTTCAGTCTGACCATGTCTACTTAATAAAAGACAGAAAACATAAATCTGTTGATACTACACATTACACCAATACAGGTCACTTCCTCATTACAGGTATCTCAAGCCACATGTAATTATCACTGGTCATTGTTTAAAGTCACTCAAGCACATCAGCCAGACCGGACATTCTCCAGCCACGTGTTTGTTGTACCTGGTTAGATGACTTGTGTCTTTCAACTTCGGATTACGTTTATACATGTTGTCATAAGACAAGTAGTAGCAAGCAATCACGTGATCAAACATGGCAGCATAATCAAAACATCGTCAGCTCACTGTCATTCATTGCTTAAAGCTCAGTTCATTTTATCATCAACACAGATTCCTGAGCTCGCATTAATTTCGTGACGCATTTTAGACTAGACCCTCGCACTCACATTAAATTTGTGATGCATTAATTTCATGATTTACAGTTTTTTATAACAATTACAGGATTTCCTCACTTCACAGAAGTACCCTTCTGATTTTATTATTCATATATGTATTCTGAAGAAAAAATCTTAGGCTTTCTATTTTTATATAAAAGGACAAATAAAATAACATGGAAACGCATGGAAATGCATTGATTGTGTTGGAGAGGCCACATTGATATTGTGGCTGCGTGCCTTATAAGACGTGCCATTTTCATATATGTGTTGAGTGCTTTGAAACACTCACCATACAGAATGGGGACTGGGTTGTCAGAGTGGCAGTGACATGACCATTTTCATTAGAGATATCTGGTGTCCCCCTCCGTGATATTGCTGGAATATTGCTAAAACCATACTCACTCACTCACTCATTAACGATACCTGATGGCAGATGTGTTCTTATCTTGATGATATGAGCCGGCATGACATGAAAGTTAGAATTACAATATCTGATACCAGTCTATATAGGAATTCTTGATCAGCAATACATGTGTTGAGGCAGATGCCACTGACATTACATAGTCGCTGACTCAGCATTTCACAACATCAAACAATTCAGTAGTTCTAGATAAAGAATGTTTTTGGAGTTACTGTTTAGATATTTATTTAGTAATGAGGGATACATTTTGTATATACTCAGTAAGTTGTGCACCATTTATATACTCATGTATATTACAACATTCATAAAAGCAAATAAGGAAGTTTACTTTAAAAAGGGTATCATGGTGCTTAATGTATTGCCATCAGAGTGTCACTAAAACATATCCCAAAGTGAGCTAAATTCGACTTTCTGGTGTTTTCGACGATCACGTTGCTGGCGCTATATCTGGGGAGTACGTGCGCGATCGGTGAGCACAAGCAATTTCATCGGCAGGGCGGATGCCCAGTCACTGTCGTGAGAAGTTGTATTGACAATTGAAAAACGGAAGTTAAGTTGTTTAAAAAGCAAACAAACATCAATATTATTTACCAGAGATCGTTAATATCACTTCAGATGCAAAATCAATTGCCTTTATAACAAAAAATAGCAAGCGAAAATTCAGTAAGTTCATTCATCTGCTGGTGACAGGCAATATTTAAATAGAAAGCCACGTTATCACAACACAAAATTCACAAATGTGGCAAACGTCAACAGTTTCGCCGATACGATGTCATCAACCATATTTTGTAGGAAACACTTGATATTTTTGTGTGAAATAGATGAATATATTCTTTATCACCCAAGGTTAGTAAAATTAAAACTTCAAATGATATTACAGATAAAAATTACGTTTTTGTCTTACATCGTCGAAAACCCCTGATACCGGGATATTGCATAAATCTGCTGTATAATATTATTGTTAGCCTTAGTGAAAATATGACAGCATTTTGTTTTCCTATTTTCTATTGCTATATGATTGTGATTTTTACATTTTTTCATAGTATTCTTTTATTTTGTTTACTTTTCTCTCTGAATGTTATAAGTGAATGTTTGTAGGTCTACTCTCCATGTTACTAAACCGTAGTTGCTGTTGGATATTTCCCCCATGCTGGGTTCAGCTGTAGATTCCATTGTACATCCTCTTGTGATGATATGCAGCTTAACCCCATGATTACCTCCCTTGATGTACCAGCTGTGAGGACCTTCACAGGTGACTCTCTGTGACCTTCATACGCTGTGTCACAGATGGGGCCGTGGGTCGGTGGTTGTTCTTGGCCAGATATTTCTCGTACTGACCTGTATCCGTCACAGCAGTTATCTGTATAATGGTGTCATATCTATCATTTGTTCTCATAACTGTGATTGCATGGCTTACAGCCTCATGTCAAAATGGGTTCAGCAATTAATTAGGAATTGATTGTAAGGTTATGCCATTGTTTTCTTTATATAACATATAAAGTTACTTTTTAAAATATGAATAAATATTTCACAATGATGAATTCATGAATAAGTAACAGGTTGCAGCTACATGAAGAGACACTTCATACAGAGTAATGAGAGTTAATCAGATTGTGTTTGAGAAGGTCACAGGTGATGTGCACAGATGTTCTGTATTCAATGATGTCACCAAGTGATTTAAGAAATACAGTTCACTCTACCACCATGTATAGTGTAATAAAGCACACTTTCGCCCTGAACTATTATAGTTAAAGTACGAGAACTGTATTTCTTTTCTAAGATGCCAAATTTAATACTTTCTAAGGATAATTACGATTAATTTAAGACGAAACACAAACGACGGTGTCGGTGACCTAAATTAAGAATGCTCGCACAGGGCTAAGTGGCGGACTGTTCTATTGATGTGTCTGCCCCCCTACGTTAAGACTAAATGATAACAGTTTGATGCCGGTTTACGTTTGGATTAAATATCTTCTCTGAATTATTTTAATTACATCTGTCATTAACGTAAACCATATGGGGCAATATGAACGTCGCATTTCTAC